ACTAATCTATTGACTATACTTATTCCATAGATTTTTATTTGATTCAAGCATTAATAAAAATTATATCAATATATATAGCAAGAACCAAAAAAACGTATCTCAAACTCGGTCAACTTCGTAACATCTGCGTTGTTTCTGTAAAAGAAGAAAAATAGCACCAAGTTATACAGTAATATAGTAACAATAACAAACTTTAATACTAATAAAAATAATTGTTAATAAACTAATGTTACAGTAATTTAAATGAAAAATTGGCTGGTTTTTCCAGATACAATGTAAATTAAAAAAATAATATAATAATAATAACATCATATATTTTAGTATTTATTTTATTTGCTGTATTTGTTATGTAGTAGAAAGCGTAGGATTCATAAAACGAAAATAAAAACAATAACAAACTTTAATACTAATAAAAATAATTGTTAATAAACTAATGTTACAGTAATTTTAATGACAAATTGGCTATTTTTTTCCAGATACAATGTAAATAAATAACAATAACAATAATAATAATAATAATAATAATATTAATAATAATAATATATATATCATATCATATTTTAATATTTATTTTATTTGCTGTATTTGTTATGCAGTAGAAAGCGTAGGGTTCATAACAAACCAAAAATAAAAACCGTCCGATAATATTAATTGATAGTTTAGTAATAATAGTATTAATTTTATTTGCTTTTAAGTAGCCTGTTGTTACTTATTAGAAATACAACAAAACATAAATAAAAAAAGTATGATAAACCGATTGACGAACTTGCAATGATAATTAGGCCTGGTTATATTAAATTTAGCGTTTCGAAACTCCATTGGCGCTCCGTATATTTGTTGAAAACAAACCGCGACCGAAATGAAGCGCGACCGAAACGAAGCGCGACCGAAATGATCTGTATTCATCTAGCTAGGCTAGCCTAGATGATGTTGCACCACCACAAGTTTAGTGATGATCAGTGAAAGTAGGGTCTAATGAGGCTGCGAGAGTGGAAGATAAATGTACTGTAGCGAGGGTAGAAAGAGGCCTAGAACTAGACGAAACGGCCGCCTCTAACGAACGTCGTATGCATAAGGGCTTAGGCCAAAAATACTTCTAAATTCGGAAATCAATGTCCGCGAAATTATCAACGCGCGGAAAATGTCAAGAAAGTGGGGAATCACGAAAAATTCTGTACGCGAAACTGAAAGCACACCAAAGAGGGCTCACTTCCAAAAACTCATTAAACAACAAAGTTAAAGGGTTAAAGACATTCAAAGAGTTTCGTGCAATCCTAGCAATAACTTTATATACCTCATTTTCTGGATGCATATTACAGTATATCATTTATTCGTCGTTAAAAAAAATTTGAATAAAAATGCACACCTAAAATCCCACGATGGAATTGGTGACCGGGACCCAAAACGGGCACCCAGTTTCAAAATTACACAGGGCCCCTGTCCCATCGTTACGCCACTGTGTGTGTTTCATGTGTGATTGGTGGTGTTGTATATGTACTGTATGTCTAGGCCTATATATGTTTGTATTTTGGGAGCACACTGCAGTCATGCAATTTTGTATGGATATGTATGTACTTGTGTTACACATAATGTTTGTGTGGTGTCTGTATTGTTCATATGTGTCAGCTTGCATCACTTTCTTTGCCCTAAGTTTTTAGTTAAAAATTGTAAAAAGTTTTTTACATTACTTAAAATAATTTTTTGTTTTTATTCTTTTTTTTTTTTTTTTAAATTTATTCACCATACCTTGATTTCCCGTTTGAAATTTGAATGTTTTTACCTTAGCTTTTTATTCTGCAAACTTGACTGTATTGTTTTTGGACGGACCTTCTATCGAGAAATGTGTCACTGATGGAAAGTGTAGTTCTTAATAAATTATTATATATATTATTAATAAAATAAAATAGAAAAGAAAACAGTGTATAATCAAACCAAATTTTATTAACCTTTCCTGAGATTACATACCCACAAGTACAAGTACAGTACAACTTAACACCATCACTTATCCCACCATTTTCATTTAAAAGACTTGGTACATAAATGCGTACGACACTGATAGTAAAACAAAATGGAACGATCTTTACCTACCAGAATCAGAACGAAGATAAGATTCAGCTTAATACCATAGTACTATCATGGTATTTTTTTTTTTATGTATGTTTTGCGTCCGTGACATGGTCAGCTGTTCAGTGGATGGTGGGCATAAAAGTAGGCCCGATTTAAAATCGATAAAGAAAATCTGATTCTTGATAACTTTATATATTAAAAGGTGAGAAATTAGCCTCATGCCTTGTTGCTTTTTAAATACAAATAATTCTACGGAAGAAGTATTCCATCTAACTTTAACATAAATATTGGTATCATTGCACATGCAATAACATTTGTCGATCTCGGTTTCCCAAATTGCATCATCAATGGATTATTATACACTACTAACCAATCAATACTCTGTGAATTACAGTTACACCATAATCACATAGTTACACCATACCATGCTAGTTAGGCTACACCATAGTTACACGATATTCTTAACACCAGAGTCATTTATGCGCTTGTAAAATTGTCTTCACGTTTGTATAAAGGTGGTGTAAATACTTATACATATACATGGGCCTAATGATATATTGGTGAGCTAATATGATATAATCACCTAATCATCTTTTTAATCAGATGCAAGACTCAACTAAGAATAGGCCTACACTTTTTTTATATTTCAAAAGAAAACAACTAGACGAATTTGAATAGTCATAGTTTCATATCATCTGAGTTTGTTTTGATTTCACTGAATACGTATTGATTAATCTGAATGTAAAAAATAAAAAATAAATATTGCCTTGTTTCTGTGATTTCTAAGGAAGAGCGATGGCCGAAGATAGAGCAACCCGCAACAAATTTATTCATATTTAGAAACGACACCACATCTATTTAGCATATTTTTTGTTATCGTCGGAAACGTTTTTATTTTCAGTATAAAGTTGAAAATAGTTTTCAATACTATCAGCTTTATGTCTTTTGTTGTCAGTTTTAATAAAAAATGTCATAAAGAGTGGAATTACGCACATAATACAAATGAAACAATTCGCTGCGAAAAGGTTCCAGTTTTCAAGAATTATATCATACATGAAAACGGAAAGGTACGATGTGATTTCCACTATAAAAACGATTAATGAAGCCGACAGTGACTCTGACTCTGGATAAGTTAGCTCAGCCCCGTGTTCAAATCCAATTGTGAAAAATATACGAACAACAACATAATAAATGGAAAAAAATACGATAGAACACCAAAAGTATTCATATTGCATTGATATGGTGAAGCAAACAAATGTTACAAAAACTAGAAAAGCTGTCACTCGTGCGGTTAACGAGAACTGTTTTGTTTTGTCCAACATCCAACCAACAGCTGCAGACCCCACAATAACAAGAAGTATACTAAAAAAAACCATAGGGCCAACTATATTACCTTTGTTTGGATAAGAATATAAAAATATATCTTTCACCTTAACAGTGATAACTGTCGACTGTCCCATACATAGTCCACACGCTATTGCAAGTAACATAAAGTTTCTGTTCATCATGATAACTTTGATCGATTTGAAGAAAGTATCTTGTTTTCCATAAACTGAATTCTTTTTCTGAACACTAGGTGGAAATGGTGGTTTGTCTTCAAATATAAATGCGATTATAGGAAATATTACTGACATAAATATTGCTGTCCCAAGAAAAATGAACTGGAGTTCACGACCAATATTATTCTGGTTATGAAATATATAAGGTGTGAGAAATCCGGTTGCAACTCCAAAGTTAAATGCAGTGAATCCAAGTGCACATGCTAAGGAAACTTCGTTTGATCCAAACCAAGTCCCCGACACTTGTGAAGCCATTCCAGCACAACATGTTTGAGCAATTCCACAAAACGTCTGACCGATGAGGCTAACGTAGATTGAATTCTGAAAAAGTATGCCAACATAACGGATCCAAGATCCAACCAAGTGCAGTCCACCACAACACATAGCAATCACTTTCAAGCCTTTTCTGTCTAATATAAACAAAGCCGGGGATATGAACATTATGTACGCTATTCCATATATTGCGCTGAAAGTGTCTATAGTAGGCATGCTAACGTCGAAATACATTTGGATTTTGTCTGAAAGTGACGCATACTGCACCCACATCAGGCCGTTTGAAAATTGTAGGCTTATGAATATTGCCAACATGATCCATCGTCGAGAGTACAGACGGCACTCATTGGAATGAATTAAAGAAAGCTGTTCCTGTGGAATATCGGCCATGCCTTCATTCCCTAAAAGATTAATGCTGCCACCACCACACAAGTTTCTGGTATTGTGTTGTACTTCTCAATTTGTTGATCTTGACTGAACTGGTCACGAATGAACGTGGGATCATTGTCGAGTTGAATGTAGAGCAAAACACCATGGTACAGACTAAAATACTAACGCCAATAAAACAGCAAAAACGTATTGATGAAGTATATTCACACTTCATTCAAATCGTGTACAGAATAGTTAACAACATTAAAGAATCAAACAATAACGTGCGTGCTGACATTTGAATTGCTTTAGACTGAACGCGGACACTCCCACTGACATCATTAGTACTTTATCATTTGAGAAAATTCATACTGTTACCCATGAAAGAAGCATTAAATCCAAAAGTACATGACACCACGCAGCGCACGCCTCTGGTTCTGACGTACCATCCTACCCCAAAGAAGATTGCTAAGATTGTAAAGGACAATTATTATATTTTAGAATCAGACCTAGCCAGGCCCTAATTTTAGGTTATTCACTCTTTATTGCACTTAGTTTTGCGCCATAGCTAATTTAATTGGCGTCCCATACTCGATTGCTTTTTTTTTTTTGTCTCGGATTATTCCGTCTCTAAATTAACTTTCTCGTTGGTGACGCTGTCCAGAATGAGAAAAATAATAAAAGGTAAGATACTTGTGGCAAGTCTAAATCAGACCCAGTCACAAAGACATTTTTAACGAGCCTCCTATGCTTTCTTATAAACGTGATCGTAGCTTGAAGGACCAGTTAGTTAACTGTTAAGTCTAGATTGAACCAGCAGATAATGTAGACATGAGTGTAACATATGTAGATGTAAGACGTGTAAGATTGTTGTATGTACTGATACTATCATAGAACCTTCCAGTAATTTTTCTATTCGAGATAAATTTACATGTACCTCTAGTAATGATTTATATGCTATTAAAATGTAATACGGTTTACTTAGGAGAAACGAAAAGGAGGCTTGGAGATAGATTCGTAGAACATTTGCCCTCTATCAACCTTAACACATCAAGTCTTCCTATAGCCGAACATTTTAATGATAATCATGATATAATAATATATTAGTTACCGGTATCAAACAATGTAATTCATCTGAATTTAATCGTAGACCTTTAGAAGAGCGTATTATTTTTCAACTACTAACCTGATGAACTTAACGTCTCATTTAAATCCTTTAAAGATTAATTCGTTGATTTATTTATCATGCCATGATCGGTACTGTGACTATGATACTATGACTATTTTTGTCTTTAATTTGTTTTCTTTTGTTAGGCTTTTTTAGTATCTATGCCATTACACGCCCTTTAGGCGAGGCAGGGTTTTGTCTTACTATGTTCATTGTTTTGCTATATCGTCTGTACCGCTGTTTAGGCTTTATTGATACCACCGCTTCTTTTGTATTTGTTCTCTATAAGCCTTGTTCATCCCAATATCCTATCATCAGTAGGCCTATCTGATGATGACCTAGTCTCTTATACACATCT